TGATTGGCTCACCATTCCTCGTCATTACAAGATTTATCGATGATATTTTCAATGAAGATTGGGGTACAGTGGGGCTATATATGCTGAAAGTTTCAGCTTTTTCTGCTGAGATTTCACCAAATAACGAGTCAACTCTTTCAGTGATTCCACAATCACCGATTATTTAAACCTTGATTTTTATATAAAAATGTGCCTCCTATAATCTTCTATCAATTGCTGAAAACCGCAAGTCGCTATGACTTTTCGTTCGAAAGTTGTAAGCTTTTTTTCCAGGTACCTTCTTTTAAAATTCCGATAGTAGGTGACGTATTCAAATGCTCAACGATATATCAGAAATAACTTTTCACTAAGGTTTTTAAAATATGGTCTTGTAGTTTTAGTACAATTTATTCTAAAATATCGGTTAGTATCATCTAAAATTGATTCAACTCTTACCTTGTTCGAACTGCTATTTTATTTTTAGCCATGTAAATATTGATTGCAACGCCCTCTTAAATTCGAAATTATGACAGGATAGAGCATTTGTCAATTCCATTACATTGTGATTGTGAAAGAACATGTGTCATCCTGGCTATTCTCTTTCTCGTTGATTATGAAATGAAAAATGAATCTATTATAACAACTACTCATTTGAGTCAGATTACTTGCTTTGCTAAATGTGATGAAAGTGTAGTTCACTGATGTGGCTTAAATTGGCTAGTGTGCGATTTAACTATTTATTCCTATTTAAATTGCTATAAAACCGAAGATTTGTACAAACATTGCTTTTTATTATGAATAGTTGCGTAGCGAAAACTTTTTCCAAAAGTCAGAAGCTGTGCTCTTACTTATTATTGGTACATCTGTAGCAATACGGATCATTTCGGTAAATAATATCTACATATTTAGCAAATTTATTTCTTTTTCAAACTATGGAGTATCAATTAAATAGATAGAAATGATATTATACTGTTCAAAGCGAATTGAAGTCAAAATTAATTCGAATAGAATCATTTTGTAATTGATCGCCCTTTTTTGTTCCTAATTAATATTTTTTCTTGATTCAGTCAACTAGATTCAAGGTTTTTATCCACATTTACATGCTACAGATTGTTCTTTTCTTAGAATCTAACCTAAAGAGTATAATTCGTCAATATTTACAAAGATAGACGAGTTCAGTCATTGTTTGTTTCGATTCATGATTAGAAAAACTGGTAAATGTTTATTTAGAAATATTTGATAGATTGAATAGATACGAATATTTGCAAAGAAATTGTTCATAAGCACTACTTCACTTATCCGAGAAAACAACTCAAGTAATAGAATGATCTGTGATTTTGAAAACTAAAGTCTTTTACCTGTCTACATGATTTATTTTACGTCCTTTTATAATTTACGGTAGAAAGTTATTTTTCTTCAGATAATTTTTTTACTCATTCGATAATCTTATGTCTGACCAGTTCGATATCAACGATAATCACACTGATGATGATGCAAACGCGGTAAATGGTTCTCATATTCTCTATCAACTTCTAGTCGATTGGTATGGTACAACCAAACTTAATAGATCTCTTTCGTCAACTCAACTAACAGATCAGTGGATTACATTATGGTTTGCCAAACGTGAACAACAAAAGTTAGCAGATCAAAAACTACTGAAATATTATTCTGCTATAGAGTATTTCATTAACTTTCAACCAAAAACTCTGAAAGAAAAGATAGCTATGATTATACTCTACGATCAAATAACTCGGAATATATTTCGAGGAACAGATAAGGCTTATAAATACGATGATATAGCTCGAAGATTCGCTTTATCTCTGGTTGAAACTACTTGTCTTTCTACACTACCAATTCAATTTCTACTAACAATTCTTATTTGCTTAATTCATTCTGAACAAATTGAACATTTAGATCTTGTTAAAAGTCTAATTCAACAGTATGTAGAGAATCATCCATCAATTGATCCAAATCTTCTAACGTCACTAAATGGCATAGTAAAAAATCATTATGATCGCATACAATTATTCGGACGAATTCCAGAAAGAAATTGTTTTATTGGTCGACAGTCCACTCTGGCCGAGATGTCATTTATGAAAGCTGTGAATACAAAAGAAATACTTTAGTCCAAGTTTTTATATTGTGTCGAAGAAAAAATACTATTACAATAACAAAGAACTTTTCAATAATTATTTGTATATAATTTTTATGCATAGAAAGTGAAAGAAAGAGAGAGAGTAAGAGACAAACAGTCTACATTCTTCACATTCTTACTTCACAGGTGTAGGCGTGTAAGACACGACAAATCAAATGAATTTCTTTCGAATTGACTCGATAGATGATCTCTGAAGAAAAATAATGACTAATGACGATCGGGAAAAAGAGAAACTTTGACGGCGAGCTTTGGAAATCTAAAACAAGAAAACGTTGCACATCGATTGACTATCTAGACATTCTTTTTTATACATTTTTTTATTATTTAAACAGCAACAATTTTTAAATTAATTTTTGATAGCACTTCAGTTTGATCACTTTTGAATTCAAATACATGTCAGATAAAGGCAAATGGAGAGGACATTGTAGAGTTGAAGCTTTGCATCATTTCCAATATATCAGATTAAGTTGGCGTAGATCGTTGTAAATTTGAAGGGAGAAATTAATATCGACAATAAGAAAACTTATTAATTACTTCTTATCAAACTTGAGTTTAGGCATAGAATCGTTTTCCCGATAGTTTTTCTAACTTTTCGAGGCAAAAGAAATCAGACGGCATTAATTATAATTGTCATATGTTTTTTTGTATCGTTAATAATATCCAAGAGTTTTGTGACAATATTTATATTCAAATTGTTTTTTGGAAATGCTTTTATTTTTATTTTGTATGGGACACATTTTTATATAGTTTTATCTTTATAATAAAAAAAAGACGATTCATAAAGAGGTAAGCTTAGATAAGTTAAAAAATAATCATGTTAATTTACATTTTGTTTTCAATTATGAAAAACAAAATTGAAGTAAAATATACAGAAATACATACAAGCAACATTTCTGAACAGAATTTATGTGATTGATCTTTTTTTAATCATTGACGTAGCAATCAAATCATTTTGCTCAGTAATAAATTCTACAACCGACGATAGGAGAATGCATGTTCTATGCAGCAAATATGCCTTTCGAAAATACCAATAGTTTTTGTTTTCAAGTCCTTTTCTTCTAAAAGATAGCAGTACGAAGTTTGAAAAGACTACGGCAGTAGAGAAGATATAAAATTGTTTCATCTTGATCGCTCAACTCAATCCTATTTGATGAAAATTCTACTATTGTTTATTTGATTGCCATTTTAAAAAATGATAAAATTATATATTTTTCAATTTCAAAAAATCCTTAGCTCACTAGTATCCAGAGCACAGCTTCGGGCATATTTCATAAATATATGTATAAGATTTCGATTAGTAAAGATTCAATTTAAGTCATAACTAATATAATATTCGAAATGACAATAACAAACTCGAGTTGATCTGAGTACGATTTGAAGAATTTCCTATACAGAACATTATACATCGAAACCTGTCAATTTTGCAATTTTTTTTTCTGAAAGTGCATAATTTTAGAGTCTTTTATAAGAACTATCAAATGAGTAATACTAGAGTTTTGATCATTTCAAATTTTTAAAATTAAAATATTTCTACAAAGATAAGAATCGATGATTAATATAATAAATATGTTAATAATGTGTGCTGATCTATTAGATGTACAACTCGTTAAATAAAACGATAATTTATTTTTCATGCTTCAGTATTCGATCAAAAACGTCATGAAATTATTAGCAAAATTTTAATCTCAATATGTTCTTTCCGCTCATATATAATTCATTGGAATTCACCAAAAGTCCTGGTGAGTCGATTTGAACACTTATACGCTCTCTTCCATTATAAACTTTTTTCTTTGAATTTTGAGAAAAAAGGATGATTATCAGGTCAATATTTCATATAAAAATATGCAAACTAAATTTATGTACACGTGTTATTGACTAATGTATAGAAATGCCTTGCTGTTTATAAATGTTCCGTTCTTTATACGAAAAATAAAACGACACAGCATAAAATCATGACCTTGAATAACTTCTATTTTCACTTTTTTCTTTCCTTTCTTTGCATTTAATTATATACTTAACATTATGTTTTTTCAACCATGGTTTCAATAGTCAAAGAAGAAAAAAGTTGACGATTGTAGACAACAAAAAAATGGAGAGATTTATAAAGCCTATGATAAAAAAATGTGTAGAAAATATGTATTTATCTTATATATTAATCATCATTTGTCTATCGGATTGGTTTTATAAATTATTTCAACTATTAACTACTTTTCATTTTTTAAATATTACTTCTTATTTTCAATATATTTATCATTTATGGCAATTAAATAAAATACTAGCAACATTTATTATAATTATTTGTTTATTTGGAATACCAAAATTTATTATTTTTCCTCGTAAAATTTTCTATAGTATAAAAGAATTTATAAAATCAATAATAAAGAGGCCAATTATTATCAATGTACCATTGCTTATTTATTTATTGGTAATTATTTATAAACTTTATTTATTTTCATTGAATTTTAATAATAATAAATATCATGTAGAACATTTTTCGAAAAAATCAAAAAAGAAAAATTATTGGAAAATTATTCAAAAAAATTTACTTACTTATCGTTATTCGACATTAGTAACAATAATTCTTTTTATATTTGGTATATATACGATCATTACTAATAAATTCACACAGCGAATTTACAAAAAAATTTTTTCAATATTATCAAAAATAATCCAAATTATCACAAAATTTTTTTCAATTACAGTACCAACGCCAGTGTCTATCTTAATTCTATTATTTTTGAATATACTAATTCAATTCTTATCACATATAAAATTTCAATTTTTAAGTTTGTTAACCAATCGTTTAATAATATTATATATTATCATTATATGTCTATGTTGTTATGCATTTTATAAATATTTTTTAATGCCAACAAAATTCGATGTTAATTTTACAGGTAATATTCATTTTAATAAATATTTTATGGAAGTCTTAAGTTGAGTTTTTTGTTTGTTAAAGAAACTGAGAACAACAGATGTCGAACCCTTTCCTTAGAATTCATTAGCAACGAATAAAAAAAATCGCTTCTCTAATAATCGATTATCCTTGTAAAACTAATTCCAATTTCAAGGAAGACATCATGATTGGTAAGGAGACAACTCGAATGTTTTCCTACGATTTCACCTCATATTTGATTCATAAGAAGTTTTCGATGAGACTAGAAAAATTCTTAAAAATTTGGTGCCTATGAACTCTTAGAGTTACTGAATCATAACTGTTTTATTAAAATTTCGCGCATGAATAAGTCGAATAATAACACTTTCAATATATCATCGGGCGTGTAGCCTGAAGGTATTGTATTTAAACTTTGGTACTATCAGCCACGAAATGAGCCTGTATAGGTCACTACCGGCATTGTAATGCATATCCAATCTCTTGTGTTTAGTATATTGTTGTAAGTGTAGGACAGATATCCAAGTTACGCTGGTCAACCTCTTTTTCGTGAATATTATAATTTGATTTAAACTTTTTCAGGTAATATTTATTTAAATGATATATCAAAATTAAATGAAACTGAAATTTATTGTTTATTTTATCCTCGAACAATAAATGATATTGAATATTTAGTATCAAAAGCTAGATCTCAAGGTAAAACAATATCTATACGTGGACAAGCACATACTATGGGTGGACAAACATTACCATCAAAAAAAAATAAACAAACAAATTATGTCTGTGATTTAAAATATATGAATCATGTTGAATATAATGAACATACAAAAGAAGTTTTAGTTGAAGCTGGTGCAACATGGACTCATGTTATTAATAAACTTAATTTATATGGTAGATCACCAGTTGTTATGCAAAGTTATTGTACGTTTAGTGTAGCTGGAACAATATCCGTTAATGCACATGGTATTACATCCGATGATGCTATGGCTGCATCAGTTATTAGTATTGAATATATTGATATGAACGGTAGAATAGCTGAATGTAGTCATGAAAAAAATCGAGAATTATTTTCATTAATTATTGGTGGATATGGTCTTTTTGGAATAATTACACGATTAAGATTAAAAACTGTATCGAATGTTAAAACTTCATTGGAATATATTCGATTACAAGTAAATTTTGTTAAATATATATGTATATATATGTAAATATTTATCTACAATAATAATTTCTCTACAGATAAAGAGAATATATACATATTTAATAATCCATTTTACTAAAGATAGAAATTAATTGTCTTGATTATAAATTTGAATCTATTATCGAGATTTTAAAGAAAGAGCAGTAGGCAAAATGCTTATAACTTTTTAATGAAGATAGCTATAAACATGTGGTTTTTACTATTAGAAAGAGGAGGCTAGTGGACACAAATCCGTGTAAAAATAAAAATTTTCAGAAACGTTTCTAAGCATGAAAAGACGAATTATTATTTGAAAACAAAAAATAGACCTTTTTTGGAAAAATTATCTCTTTGCTCGACTTTGCTTCGCTAGATTTAGCCTAGAAACGTTTGAGAAAATTTCTGTTTTTAGATGGATTTGCGTCACCCAGTCGCCTCTTTCGAATGGTGAAAACCGCAAGTGTCCAGCTATCTTCGTTAGAAAGTTACAAGCATTTTGCCTACTTGTCTTCTTTTGAAATTCCGATAATAGATTTCGTTTGTATAGTATTTCCACAAACTCTTAAATATTCATTTTTTGATTGATATGATTTATAAGATAATTTATTGAGAACTGTACAAGATTTAAGTATATATAACGTTTAGTTTCAATTCAAACAACTGTATTGCAAGTGTACATTTTTCAATCAAAAATTGAACTAGAATTCTTCGAAAGAACTTTGATTCTTAAAAAAAAAGATTTGCTAGACAGAACTTCAAATGAATACATTCGAATAAATTCAAAAGCCAATAAATTATGTTGTAGAATTTCATGGAATACTTTTAAAATAAAATGATCGTTAACCTCTAATACGAAAGTCTTGGTGCAAAGTATTCCGGCAAAAGTAGCTTGTGCGACTTAGACTTTTTCGTTCTTTCTGAATCTATATTCAGAATTTTCTTCTTAGATAAGACAAGATATTTATCATCAGATTGTTTCAAAAAGTTTTTAAAAAAATAATATTTTAATTTTTGTAGGCTGATCAATTTGCTAACTATTATGAACAATGTCTTAATGATAAAACAGTAGAAATAAAAATTGCTCGTGTTGATCTTATTCGTCCAAATAATATTTTATTATTTATATTTCGTCAAGAATCAGGAACATTTGGTACAATTGCTGATTTAAGTGATGAAGCACGTATTATGCATCCACGTCATCATTTAATTTATACATATGTTGCACAACGTCAACTATTTGCTCGTATACGTTTTGCATTAGAAAAAATACTTGCACGTCCACTTGATTTAACATATTCGACTGATCGTAATACAACAATGTATGAATCAGCTAAACCAATGGCACTTTTATATCAACCATTAACATATTATGATGATACATTTATATTACAAGAATATTTTATACCAAAAGAATATTTTTATCAATGGTATAAAGAATTAAAAGATATTCTTAAAAAAAAATTTGAATATATTATTCTATTAAATTTAACAATACGTTTTATTAAAAAAGATCAATTAACATTTCTTTCATATACAAAAAGATATGATTCATATGCATTTGTTTTTTATTTTCGTATAAAACGAAATGAATTAGGTGATAATGAAGTTAAAAATATTCATCAAACATTAATTCAATTAACTTTTAAATATCAAGGAACATTTTATCTACCTTATCGACAACATTATTCTCATCAACAAATCCTTCAAGCATATCCAATGTTTGAAGAATTTCTTGAAAAAAAACAAATGTATGATTCAATTGGATTATTTTCAAATAATTGGTATGAATATTATCGACCGAAAAAACAATTTTCAACGATGACAAATCGTATCAATGAAATGAAATTAATAACAGATCGATTTCAAATTGTTGAACAACGTCGAACAAATTCTTTTAATTCAGTTATTTCCAATGAAATTTCAAGAGAAAAATTTAGAAAATTTCTTCGAACAGTTTTTAATGCTGAACCTATTCATGTCATATTTAATTATGTTAATCGTGCTGTTAGAGATCCAAAGAATAAAAATGATAATGATATTTATCTAGAATTACAAAATGTTTTAAAAACAAGACGATTTACTTTGATACGAAAAATTTTTGCAATATTTAAACAATTTCGACAACTTAGATTACAAATTAATGATATGTTAAGACAACAAATAACAATTTTTAAACATTTAGGATATTGTGGAAAGGTAAAATCATATTTTTTTTTATATATTGAACATAGTTATAATCGATCAATGTGAGCTTGTTTACATGTAATTATTATTCTATATTTTATACAAAAAAATAACTATCGATAATGATTAAAAGCTTAGAATTTTGTGGAAATAAGATTTACGTGCGCAGACACCTAAAAATTTTCTAAATACGTTAATACGATTTGTTCGTTCGCTACTATCCTATTTTCATTTAAAATTTTAACAAGAGATAGAGAAATAACTATGAAGAAAAAAAACTAATCTGTTTGCATCGATGAAAAGGCAAATCGTAAAACGAGATGGCAAATTACAGTGCAACACTACTGTTTGTCAATGTGAGAATTCCGACTTTTGCCAATTTGATTGTCAATTAGAGTCATATGTATTCTGTGTTAATACTGATTCGTCACAACTGGCCAAGTTCCGGTAACCCATCGATGTCCTTCGTTTTTATCGTGTTGATTTTTGAAAATTCATAAAACTTACTACAATACGATTCAATGAAGAATCAAATCATTATTTTTTATATCCAATATAGTAATAACCAAAAGTTCTGCTACTAGATCAACAATACAAAATCGATCGTAATATCTATAAATAAACTTTCACGTATCTTTACTGTGTCATAAATAGGAAATTTTAATTTTGTGTGAAGTGCATACTTAATTAGAATAGAGAACTCATTAGGAATATCCGAAATATGAATGCTTTATTTATAGCCAAAATATGATACCAAAAGATCCATGTTAAGATGATTTTTTTTTGAATTTCAAAAAATGAAAATATCTTATATCACTTTTTAAATTCTGAAATTTTCTTCTAATATATAGATTCGAGATATAGTCAGTATTGGTGATGGTGGTCGATGTATAAAAGAATTACAAGAAATATTAAAAATAAGAGATGGTCGTGTTTATATTGTTAATGATCGTCAACGTTGGACAGATATTATTGAACGAAATAGTTTATTTTCTATTGGTAATTTTATTCCATATAATTTTTCAAATTTAACCGATGTTCCTATTCCAAGTGAATCAATTGATCTTGTTGTTTGTTATATGGGTTTACATCATTTACCACAAGATCAACTTGATATATTTTTAAAAATGATCTATAGAATTCTTCGTCCAAATGGTTTATTTATATTTCGTGAACATCATGCACTTGAACAACTTAAACCATTATTAGATGTTGCACATATGGTATTTAATGTTGTTACTGGTGTTGATTATGAATCAGAACGAAATGAAATACGAGCATTTCGTACTATCGAACAATGGCGTTCTTGTGTAAGACAAATAGGTTTTCAAGATACTTTTATTTATGATGAACAAGAAGATGATCCAACAGATGATATAATGATTGTTGTACGAAAACCTGACATAGAATATGTCGATACTAATGATATAAATGAAATAATTGAAAATAAAACTTATACAAAAATATCTGCTTATCTCGAATCAAATTACTTTCGTCCATTAGAATGGTTAGTTGTTCGTATTCTAATGGAATTTGGACAATATTTAAATCATACGCCATTTTATTATTTTCCTTATATGAAATATCTTTCAATTTATTGGTCATTAAGTTTAACTGAAACAGATTTTGCTATAAAAAAATATGGTTTCATACAAACACTTTTTGTATCACCTGCATTTTTCATGAATATATCTGTTGGTGTTTTTTTATCTTTAGCATTCATACAAATGGCTTTTGTTTCATTTCTTATTCGACTTGTGCCTGGTTTTCGATATGGACCTGAATATGAACAAGTAATTATTGAAAAACTTGATGAAAATAATGAAGATTTTAATTTTCAAGAATCTATTGATGAAAGAATTGATGATATACAAATATTAATAGATAATCGTTTATATGCTATACGAGTACCAAGACATGAAGTATTTAATTCAATATTAAAAAGAATTGCTTTACATCCAATAAAATTTAATATTTTATCAATATCAAAACAAAAAGAACAAATTCAAATTGAATTAGCGGTTAATAACAATAATGATGAACGTCTTTTATGGTTAAAACAACGACCTAATATGGATATTATATTTGAATTTAAAAGTCCACTAGATCAAAGTCGAACACATATTATTTTACGTGTTAAACTTCGATATTTATTAACATTAATACGTGAATGTGCACAATTTGAAGCTGATAAATCATTGACAATTATTCAAATTTATGATCATTTCTTTTAGTTTAGATTAATCAAATTTTGAATTCTATTAGAATAAATAATACTTACTTTTTTTTTCTCAAACACTTCATTCAGAAATCAATAAGAAAATAATTTGAATTACACAAAATAATAAATATCTGGTTGACCCATGTAAACAATAGTAGAGCTATCTTTGACGTAAGAAGGCAACTTTGAGCAGTATCTTTGAAGCCCAAGGAACTATTAAGTCGTTCAATGAAAATCAAATATAACTGTATGCTTACTCAGCAGATGGATACAATTATGAAACTTTTTGAAATCTAAATCCTTGTCAAAATATCTCATACAGAAAAGAGAAAAGATATTTGATGCAGGGTGTAGATGAGTGCGAGTGTGAGTGTTGGTATTGATCTGCTCTCTACCCACACTCTACACCCACATCCACACCCATCGGATGAATAGAATATTCATTTTCGTCAGTCAGTATAATTTCATGTGAAATATTGATAGCAATATTAAAATATTCTGCTTTTTAACTGTTTTTAATCGAATCAAAGTTTCTTTTTGTCTGTCGTTAGTGAACAATACCAACAGCAATATTTCAAAAGATGTTTCGATTATTGTTGATTATATATTTGATTAGTATTTAAGTTTTCGATTTTTCTAAGAAGTTCTCTATACTGATCTTTTTTATCAGCAAGATAATTCGATGATAACCCGTCGAGTAAAAATAAAATATTCGATAGGTTATTTTTTACTATTTCTTTGAATTTAGGAAATGGGTATGTCCATGGGAAGTCGCCAGGTCCATACAGCGACCTCTTC